TCAATTCAACACTTTTTTTGGTCCAGATTTTTTAACATGCCACACATGAACTTTGAAAGCTACCGATATGTAAACCTCAGTTTCCATAGTTTTCTCCATTTTTCTTTTTTAAAAAATCTACTCCATTATAGGGTAGGGATGGGTGCTGTCACACCCTATTTGATATTGTTTTCTTTGTGCAATTTTTCAGGCCAAAATGTCTTCCAAAAGAGGCGATTATTGGGTTTTAAAGGTGATATATGAAATTAGTTGACACTCTGCCTGTGGCACCATGGTAATTTGTATCACCAGCAACACAGATTCCAATCACCTTCTCTCAAGATAATTTATCAAATCTTCATACGATCTCAGTAAGTGGGGAAGGCAAGTTAGAAAGATTGTTGTGTCCTAGCCTTTCTTACTTTTCAAGCCGACTTTCTAAAGACACTGAGTTCTTCAACGTTTATTTTATGCTGAACTAGGGTGCATTCCAACACAAACAAATTAATTATCACAAAGATCTGAGAAGTGAATTTAAAATATGTGCACCCACCACCACAGAAATGTAGGCATTTATGGGCATAGCAAACTATTCTGCAAGATGCAATGTACTCTGCCTATTTCGGGGACATAGTGGTCCCAGTAAGCCATGAAGTTCGGCCTCCCTCATGTAACAATGAGGGGTTGCAGGACAGATGGACAGACCTTTTCCTTCAGGAAAAATATTGAGCCAGACATCTGTGGGCTTCATGTACTAGGGCTCAGTCTGCATCCATACGCTCCATCAGCCCTTGGGCCCTCTGTGAGCCTTGGATCTGGGGAGTGTTGAAACACTTCTTCCAGCTGCATCCCACCCACACATGGACTTTCCTAGAAGTTTCTTAGAGGAGAAGCAGGGAGACATGGAAACTTAGCAAGCAAGGTGGGTACTTGGCAGATTACGGGATCCCAGGCCCTCATTTAAATGTGAGGCCCCGTCTGGCAGAGGACTTATCAAGACAACAAGGTGGTGAATCTTTATTCTCAGCCCTGATTTCCAGGGCTTCAGCCACCTCCACACCCAAGGAAAATGACCCCAGGGACGGACAGGCATCCACTTGGATCTACAATCCAAGATGGGCCCTCCTCTGCAACACACCCTCCACTCTCCTAACAGAAATCTACAACTCCTGAGCTGAGTCTACTGTCTCATGCTCACCTTGGATGAGGCTTACCTGAGAACTGAATTTACCGCAGAACTGAAATTCCAGGTACCCAGATCTAAAGCACAGCTGTGCATACACACACCTGCCAATGGTGAGAGCAAGGGCTGTCAGCAGAGGCTGTCCTCTACATCCATCCAGCTCCACACGAGGGGTCCCTGCTACATGGTGCAAAAATGAAGCAAAGACAGGAACAAAGGCTAAGCAGGAATTTCACTATCAGTGAATTTTCAGTGATCTCATTTCATCACATAGTCTTAGGAAGGGAAAATAATTAAAGTACAGTACATGTCTACTGTGTACAACACGGTACACCAGCATCCATAAGAATAAAAGAGACCACTGGTTCCTGCTTTCTGGAGATTCCGCCTAGTGGGTGAGGCTGCTGCAGGGCTGGGCAGGGAATTTGATCCAATCTGAAGAGTTTCTTAGAGGAGATTGGGCTTGAGCTGAACTCTGGGGGTGGTGGGGTTCTCTAAGGCTGATGTTAGAGTGCCCAGCATGCCGAGTAACCTTTTACTCTTTTCAAAATAGTTGTTACTAAAATGAACATGTTTATATGTACACATATGTGGATGTCTGTTTCTTGCTATATTTCATAATAAATTTAAAGACATTGTCCTCTGTATGAGGAAATATAATTCCAGCACCAAATCGCACTTTAGAAAGTCAAAAAGCTTTAAAAGTATATATCCAAATGACACCTGCTGTGTTCAAGTGACTTGCCCACTTTTCTCATTGACATACGTTGGTGGCCAGGCTCACTGTGGGGGAGATTTGTCTCATTAGCAGAACTGAGAAGTAAGTAAGACTTGAGAACCAGAACTGGAGGAAAGAGGCCAAAGACCACATGGGTCAGCTGCAGGCACAGAGCTGTCATGGAGGGACAAGCAGAGCATCATGGATTTACAGGAGCAGGGAGGGCTATTTTGTGTGCTTGTAAGACTTGTCAAAACTGTGGATTAAATGATAAGATGTGGAATGAAGAATCATCCAACAACATTCCTGGAGGATTTTCATTGAAAATGGGTCTGGCTATCAGGGTGAAGGTAACAGGCAAAATGACACACAAGCATGCAGCACACATGCAACAGAAGTTAGCAGCTCTCAAACTTTTTGATTAGTGACCCTTTATAAAATTAACAACTCTAAATGGCTTTGACCAACATGAGAAGTTAAGACTGGGAAAATCTTAAAACAAACACAAGAATCTACAGGGTTGTATTTCCTGGCCACCTGAGCATTGCACCCCGTGTAGCCTCTGTAGAATGCCATTGTGTTCTCTAGAGAATGAGAATTTTAAAGGCAGCGGGCAGTCCCAGCTGGGCAGGGAGGATCCCTTGAGTCCATAAATGTGAGGTCAGGCTGGGCAATATAGTAAGAACCTGCCTCAAAAGCAAAATCAAAATAAATAAGCAAGCAGGTGTGGTGGTTCATACATATAATCCCAGCACTCAGCAAGCTGAGACAGGAAAATTGCAAGTTCAAAGCCAGCCTGGACTACATAGAGATATCCTGTCTTAAGGAGAGAAAAGGCAAGTAGCATCTTAGTATTATTTCAAAAGTAATTTGAACGCCCCCCCCCCCCGAAAGGGTCAAGGGACTCCCAAGGGTCCCTGAATGCACTTTGAGAACTGCTGATATAGACCGAAACTTGAACTTTCTGGGCTCTCCATGACAGCCACCAGCTTGGCTTTGCCAGGAGAAAAGGCAAGTGACCATTCACTTGCCCGTGGTTTCTGATTTCCCATTCTTCTCCCATCAGAGAAATCATTCAAAACATTTCTGTGTATTTTCATAAACATTCATGTGCCACATAACAACATTTCATTCAACAACAGACTGTACATACAACAATGGCCACAGAAGGTGACACCCCCCAGAGATGTTGTAGCCACCCTCATGGGTAAATACGACATTCGCACCGTGACAAAATGGTTATCTATGGACACAGCTCTCAGAATGTGTCCTGCTGTTAAGTGGCACAGGACATGTTAGGATTCTAGAACAATCTTCCTTGAATCTAGAATTCCATGGCAAAAAAAAGAAAAAAAGAATGAATGAAAAAAATCACAGTTTTAAAACACTGGTAGAATGTGTACTGTAAGTTTTCAGGTAAAGAAAGTTTAATATATAGCCCAACAAAGAATATGTATTGTATAGAATACTATAGAAACATTCCATGGTGACTATTTTATAAGTAAATGGATTTATTCAGAAATTGTTGAGTACCTACTATGTGACTAGCACCAGGCAAGGCATGGCATAATTTTTTTTTTCAGTGCTGGGGATTGAACCCATAGCCTCACAAATGCTAGGCAAGCACTCTACCAGTGAACTACATCTTGAGTCCAAAAATGTCTTTTTTTAATTTTAAAAACGCAGTGATTTGGGGTTTGAAGGCAGGAGGGGGTGTGGCGTCTGTAGGAGCCTTGGGGGTGGTGGGGACTCTGGTACTGTCAGGTGGCAGTTTTCAGAGAGGGAGTGTCTCCTGCAGAATCCTGGAAACCATGGAGACACCAAATTACAGGACCCATTTCATCTGCTTCATGCTATGATATCCCAAAACATGCCTCATAAGGATCTCTGCTGACGAAAGACAATAGAGCTATGGATCTGAAAAGGTTTGGGGACTGAAGGTGCTGCTGATGAGTGAAGCTAAATTAGAGTAAAGCTTTTCCTAAAAGAATAATCCATACAGAAACGTGCACATAATTTAGTAGCACCCCGCTCCAGAAGTGCACCTTTCAAAGGCCCCATCTGGTCCCTTGAAATCGCTAGCCATCCCCTTTGGATGGCTCCAGGCTTCCCACAGGGCAGATGGCTCTTGCTGTTTTTGTGCTTCGTGTTAACGGACGATCTCCTATGTGTCTGGCTTCTTTCACTCAACATTCTACGGTGGGAGCCAACCGTACCATCAGATGCAGTCAAACGCTGCTGGTCCTCAGCGTTGCAAAACAGTCCCGGCCGGCACCATGCGAGTCTGGCTCTGTGTGTGGGTCCCTTCTGCTGGAGTATGGGAGTCGATGTCTCTCGAGCCTCCTGGCTATAGAAAAGACCAAAACTTCTCTCTTACACAGAGGCTAAGATGAAGTCTCCCCCAACCTCTTCCCACTTTCAATTGGTCTGACCCACAGGATTTGGGGGTATTTTTCTCCTCTGTGTCAGAATTAGAACTCTTCTGGTTATACATTAAGCATTAAGCATTTTGACTAGGAGTTAGGAAAAGGAGAAAGGGGTTAATGTGTTGACAGGTGGCTCTAGTGGGCTCTTTTCCTACTTCCAAAGAAACTGATCTGGCTTTTGATGGTGATCATTTCTCATAGGAGGGACCATGTTTTGGGTTTCTTTCTGGTCTGTGACAGTGTCCTGCACGCAGGGTGCTAATCAATGCTGGCTTCTGGTAGACAGAGAAGATGGTGGGTGGGTAGAGGGGAAACAGCTCTCAAATAGCAATGAAAGGGGGCAGGAACCTGAAATTACCACCTTAGAAAATAAAACGATGTTTATACACAGAATAACACAATCTTTGATTCACACATCCCACCTCTGACATTAAGCACAGCCTTCACCTATGCACTGAATGTCATCTTTTCCACCCCTCGTAGTTTACAGATTGTTTTACTTTGAAGTGGAAGAAGGGGTGTGGGGTGGGGAAAAATGGTCACTGCCCTAAAAGGAATGAGGAAATGAGAGCTGTGCAATGTCTGGCTGGTTTTGACTGTGTGACAGCCCATGATGTTCCTTCCGGTCCCAGTAATATTCTGAGTTTCCACCTGCCCGCCCCCACCGTTTATAGTGCACAGCACGTGAGGACCAGGAGCTCAGTCTGTCTGTCTGTCAGTGGATTAGTAGAAGCAGAGTGTTATGCTGTGTCTTCTGTTTTCCACAGATCAGCGGAGGTAAAGGAACCTTGGCTAGAGACCTTCCAAGGGTAAGTGCAATAGATCAGTAGGGTGGGCGGGGGGAAATGCTGCCTAGCTGGGCAAGGGACAGGAAGACCTTAGGCAACAGAAAACAGGGACACCGGGAAGGCGCAATGGTAAGAGAGACAGCCCTATGTGAAGGGTGTAGATGCTATGTAAATAGCAGCCTGGGAATAAGGTCTTTTCTATTTGGGCTAGATGAAATCAATTCAGAGCACTAAATACAAGTGCCTGTGAACACCACCCCAAAAAACATTAGCTGTTATTGTAATTGATATTCAGATTTTTTTATAGGAATGTAATACGGAATAACAGTTTGGCATGGTAAAGACACCGGCTTAAAGAATTTAAAAATGAGTGTGTTCAGATGCTATTCTTTATAGCAGATGACATTTGGTGACAGGGTCGGGCTTCAAAAGAAAACTCTTCTATCTAATAGATTCCAGTTCTGTGGTTTTGGCAAAGTGGCGATGAAATTAGCCAATTATTCTACATCCTCACTCTTTCCTGTATGTTTATGACAGACAGAATCAAAGCCCCACTGGAGTGAAATCCACCTCCGGACAGACACCAATGAAGCTGAGGAGCAGCGTCGATGCCGTATGTGCTCCTTTCATATTCACTTGTTCACGTTTTCCAGAGGCAGGAGCCAAAAGACCCTTACTGAGTGTACTTTTTTCTCTCTTTTAGTCAAAAACACTAAATGCCAATAATATGGAGTCATGGATTGAGTGTCAGTCAGAGGTAAGAAAGTAATTTTTAGAACTTCATTTGCACTCTGGGAATATAGAACATAGCTTTAATTAAATAGTATTTGGATTGTTTAATTATTAGAGTAGAAAAAGCGCATCCTAAGTACAGTAAATAATACACCTCAATTGAGATCTTCTATAACAACAATTAAGACAATAACGTTGATTCTAGAAGCCAGAGAAAAAAATCAGTGCACTATATTGAATTAACTTTTAAGATGGAAATTTTGTGCATGTATTTTGTTAAGAAAGTCTAGATAGGCTTCTCCAGTCATTATTTTAACTGAAATAAATACATTTCAGGGTGATATCAAGGAACATCCCCTGTTGACATCATGTCAGAGTGAAGACAGCATTTGCCAGCTGATTGGTGAGTTTTGAAAACAAACAGATCTTTTCTGTGAGTGCTAGCAACCAGAGTTCTTGGTTTGCAAAACCGCAGGGCTCTTACTTTACCAGGAATTTTTTTTTTTTTTAGTGTTCTGTTAAAGACCGCAGAACATTAACCCTTAACTGGTGGGCATGCTGAGCTCACTAGAGGCAGGAGTGCTGTGAGAAGGAAGGTGCTCTGGGAAGCCAGTTCCCCCAGCCCTGCTGCAGGTTTTCTGATACTTTGATAATAAAAGCATGCATACATTTGAAAAAATACACAGTGCCTTTTCCATGTTCTTCCTTCTCTAACACAGATGTGTTTAAGAGCCCAGGAAGCAGCTATTGCTAACCTCAAATCCCAAAAAACTACTATTTGTGCTTAATTCTCATAATGCATTTCAATATAATGTAACCCTGACTCAGTCCTTTTGAAAAGGCAGGCCATTTCACTCACATCCTTCTACCACTTTTCAGTTTAAAATGTGTAGGAATGTTTGTCAGTCATTTAAAAAATGTCGCCTTTATAATTAGAAAAAGAGAGGAGGAAAGAAAGGAAGGAAAAAAAGAAGGAAACTTTTGAGAGACAATACCTATTGCACACATGTGTCCTAGATTTGGGGAGGATAGAATTTTTGGCAAAGTTGTACTGGTAGTTCCCAATGTCCAGGTCTAGGCTCAAGTCTTTTGGAAGCAATTTGTGCTGCTCTTGCTTGGTCCTAAAGCAGCAGACTGGGAAGATCAGATGCCCTGGATGAAGCAGCTCCCTCTAGTGGCTGCTCAGTGCTAGCATGGTTGGGGAGGATGAAAAAAGAAAATGTGGTATCTATACACAATGGAATTTTATGCAGCCATGAAGAAGAACGAAATGTTATCATTCTCTGGTAAATGGATGGAATTGGAGAACATCATTCTGAGTGAGGTTAGCCTGGCTCAAAAGACCAAAAATCGTATGTTCTCCCTCATATGTGGACATTAGATCAAGGGCAAACACAACAAGGGGATTGGACTATGAGCACATGATAAAAGCGAGAGCACACAAGGGAGGGGTGAGGATAGGTAAGACACCTAAAAAACTAGCTAGCATTTGTTGCCCTTAATGCAGAGAAACTAAAGCAGATACCTTAAAGCAACTGAGGCCAATAGGAAAAGGGGACCAGGAACTAGAGAAAAGGTTAGATTAAAAAGAATTAACCTAGAAGGTAACACCCACGCACAGGAAATCAATGTGAGTCAATGCCCTGTATAGCTATCCTTATCTCAACCAGCAAAACCCCTTGTTCCTTCCTATTATTGCTTATACTCTCTCTACAACAAAATTAGAGATAAGGGCAAAATAGTTTCTGCTGGGTATTGAGGGGGGGAGCGGGAGGGGGTGGAGTGGGTGGTAAGGGAGGGGGTGGGGGCAGGGGGGAGAAATAAACCAAGCCTTGTATGCACATATGAATAATAAAAGAAAAAAAAAAAAAAAGGAATCAGGGAGGAGTGATAAAGGAGAGTGGTGGAGGGGGAGAATTCAAGTATGATATATTTGATACATTGTAAGAACCTTTGTAAATGGCACAATGTACCCACACCCAGCACAACAATAAAGGATGAAAAAGAAAAAAAAAAAAAAAAGAATGGCCAGACTGAGCCTTCAAAAAGGTCTTAAGCAAGTCACTTCCTCTCCTTATAAGTTTCGATTTCAAAGGAAGAAATTAAAATAACCCCCATTAATCAGGAATGTTCTCTGTAGTTATTAGACTGAAAATGTTAAGATGATTGTTTATGACCTGCACTGTTAGGTTTTGATAGTTTTCTTTAGCAAAATTAGCTGGTGAAGAAAAAACAGGAAAGGTGGGGCCTTTGAGGAACCCTGGTGTTGATGTTTAGGGGCTGGTTGCCCTGGTAACACCATAGTTGTTTTGGGGTTCAGTTTTCTATATGAAGAGTCATGCCCTTTGCTTTCTGGGGTTTTCAAAATTATTTTCTCCACATGGCACACTATAGATGACATTATATGACAAACGATATCCATTTTCTTATCTGGATCTTTGCTTAATAATATTGTAATCCTATTTTTCTGTTTCCCTTGTTTTCTTGGCTGTAGAAATTAAGAAGAGAAAGAAAGTGTTGTCCTGGCCGTTTCTCATGAAAAGACTCTCCCCTTCCTCAGATTTCTCTGGGTCCCTGGAGCCAGAGTTGAAAGTGTCACTATTTGATCAGCCTTTGTCAATTATCTGTGGTGAAAATGATACACTCCCAAGACCTATTCAGGTAGGTGTGTGTTTATTCCTGAGCCTACTTCTGCTTTTTCTCATGTGAAAAGTCCCTGGGAAATCTGAATGTGAAGCTCATACTGAACTCAATGGGGCTGATCTTTAGAATTTCCCACTCTTGAAAGTGGTTGTTCTGCACCTGAGTACAGTAGGGTGAGGATCTGCCTGCCTGCCTTCCAGAAATCAGTTGCATTTGCCAATGGGCTCAGAGTAAGGGGCCCTCAGACATGTCCTCTGACTTCACATATTTAAGAAGGCTGAAATTTTACAGCTTCTGAAAAGTCAGCAGGCAGAGATGGAGCTGAGACCATATATCAGAAATCCAAAGTTTCTATGGAACTATTTGAAAAGAGAGCCCCAAAGCAATTTTAGCATGTGAAAAATTAGAACTTTCACAATGCACCTCCTTTTAGAAAAATGGCAGGATAAAGAGAGACCTCAAAAGCCTTATTAAGACTCTCTTTATATAATAAAAATAACTTTTTTAATAGAGTGGATATCTTATGACAGGTAAAGTTAGGGACTGTTCACATACATTATTTTAATTTTCTTTCTCCAAACTTTACCTAGATTTTCATGTGTCAGTAGCAGTAAATTTTCTGTCTCTAAGCCATGGATAACCATTTCTCGTTTCTATATCTGCTCCTATAGGACATTCTCACTGTTCTCTGCCTTAAAGGCCCTTCAACAGAAGGAATATTCAGGAAAGCAGCCAGTGAGAAAGCCCGCAAGGAACTGAAGGAGGAGCTCAACTGTGGAGGCACCATGGACCTTGCAGGGCTCCCTGTGCACCTCCTGGCTGTGGTCTTCAAGGTGAGCCCACCACATTTGTGCCAAATAGTGGCCCACTGGGCACTGTCCTCAGGAAACCAGGAATGGGCTCTGCCCTTCCCAGGCAAAGTCAGCTGACCCTGGACTTTAGGTTTTATAGTTAAACCTTTCAATTATTCACATAAGCACATCTGTTTCAATGATCCCAGATTTCAACAGAATGGGATGCATTAAGTTCCCCCCAAAATTTTAATGAGAAAAGGCAATTATGATGTCCTGTGGGCAAGCCCAGAACTCTAACTCTGATCCCCAGAATTCACCTTGCTGGGGATGGTGACTCTTACTGTGGCTGTCCTTAGGAAGCTCCTGAGACACAATGGGAGTTTGAGAGAAGCTCTCTCTGATTAACCAAATGCAGGAATGGAAGGGGCATGTCTGTAAAGGGAAGCACCAGCAAAAACAAGGATGGAGCAAAAGCAAGGTGAAAGTAAGACACCAGTGTACTGCATGGTACAAACAGGTCAACACTCCCCTTTCCTCCTCCAGGACTTCCTCCGAGGTATCCCCCTGAAACTGCTTTCATGTGACCTGTTTGAGGAGTGGATGGGCGCCCTGGAGAAACAGAACGAAGAGGACAGAATTGAGGCCCTAAAACAGTAAGTCCTCAAAGTCATTGCAGGAGGCCAAGCCTCCATCTTTTACTCCATAAAACTGTTGAAGTGCTTCGTGATTCATGTTTCATGGAAACTATGTTTAGGGAATCCAAGTGGAATTGCTCATCCACTCCCAAAATACAAACCAGGAGGTGCCTTGGATATTTAAAGAAAGTAGTTTTTGCCAAATGAAAGTACTTTCTTCAAAAAGTAGAATGTGAATTTTAATGCCCACAAATCCCAAGAAATAGAAGAGTCTAAAAATGTAAGGAGTTCAAAAAAGTGTGAGAGAAAATCATACCTGAACACTATAACTCAGGCTGACCAGCAGAATCCAGGAATTAACCTACATTATTGGTGTTCATGCAAGGCAACAGTCCTCCCATAAAATATCCCTTAAAGCATGGACAGCAGTTTGGAAAAGATTGCTTTGTTCATAAAATTCCACAGCATATTCTGTGTTCTTATAATTAACCAAAATGAAAACCATGTAAGAACAAATTCCAATGGGTAAAGATAATTGCATATGTAAATGCAAGTGTCACTTATAAGTGACTAAAGAATCATAAATACCTAACTTTTTTTTAAACCTTTTTCTTTTTTTGAGGTTCTGGGAATTGAACCCAGGACCTCAAGCATGCTAAGCAAGAGTTCTACCACTTGAGCCACGGCTGGGCTGGGGAGCCCCTAAATGCCTAATTTTAAAATGTCAGCATCTTTGCTGCATCCTAAGAAAGCTTATCTATGTGTTATAATTGTTCCCCCCATGGCTGAATATTGCCCAGAAAGTGTTTATTGAAATGAGATCGTCAGTGTCTGTCCCAAAACAAAACATCCTAAGATTATCCCTGTAAGTTTATACTTAAGGCATAAAATTCTTTTATAACAACAATTCTTCGGAGAAATGAAAAGGATCCATGTATTGGAATCTCATTTCTTTTTGAAAAGGTGAGACTTTAAAGAAAAAAAATCGAACAGACTAGACAATAAACATTAGTTAGTTCTGAAAAAAATCTAAATTTACTATTGTTTGTGATACTATTGGTATTTAAGCACTGCCTTGGCCATAGGCTGATTTATTCTCCATACAGACTTCTTGGGAAGACATAAAAATAGTTGATCTTCATGTAGCAATCACCACTCAAAAAAAGCAAAAAACCTGATTTCGTGGTGTTCAAAGCAAAGAATTTCCACATAGCTAAATGGTTATTCACAAAATGGTTTTCCAAATGTAAAGGCAAACTGTGGTGTTTAATACAGGCTCTGATCCTTCCAGATAACAAAGGGTGGTGCTATTAAAGAACTCATGGTTAACCAGCCTATTCCGTGTCAGTTACCGCTGGAGGGTCTGAATGAACATTTCATAAGGTTGCTTGTGAAAACGCACCTTCCTCATTTTAAAGGAAGTCTGGTTTTGGCGAAATCTCTCAACAGACCATGCGAAAGCTAGCCATGTCTTGAAAATTGATGTCCCTAACTCCATTCCAGGGTTGCAGATCGGCTCCCCCGCCCCAACCTTCTGCTGCTCAAACACCTGCTCTTCGTGCTGCACCTGATCAGCAAGAACTCTGAAGTCAACAAGATGGACTCCAGCAATCTGGCCATCTGCATCGGACCCAACATGCTCACCCTAGAGAATGACCAAAACTTGTCATTCCAGGCCCAGAAGGCCTTGAACAATAAGGTGCGTTCTGCCTATATACAAGAAACTACCTTCTGTCTTCAAGTCAAGCAATGAAACACTTCTGATTCTGAATTTCTCAATATGACTCAGGGTGAGAGTGAGAAATCTAGAATGCAGAATGCTTTCTTCATCATGGCTCACTCTCTTAGATACATGCACTTCATAAAGCTGCATTTATCTGTCCTCAGTTGTCCTAGAAGACCGATTTTTATGTCTCTGCCTCCTTGGATAGAAAACCCCTTTGTTTTATTCTTACGAGCATCACACTCTGTCAGCCCAACTAATAATATGGGGAAGTACTTGCTTAAATGAAAATTTCAGTTACTTTAAAGTAAGTTTTTTATTTTCAATTTAAAAATGCATGACTCAAAAAAATGAAATCTCTAACTTTAATGTATATTATTGTTATCAAGTTTCACTATGTTATTTTCAAACGTATAACAATCTCTAGTTCTCATTCTGACACCTCCATAATAGTTGACCTCAAATGTGTCCTAATTTGCCCCCTCCCTAAAAAAAAATGTCCTTAAGCTGACAACATCCTTTTTTCTCACAGGTTAAGACACTGGTGGAATTCCTCATTGACAACTGCTTTGAAATATTTGGGGAGAACATTCCAGCTCACTCCCGCCTCACTTCTGATGACTCCCTGGAACACACTGACAGTTCAGGTACAAAACACTCTGCCATTTGACTGTAACTATAAGGAATTCATGCCAGTCACCAGCCCAGCTATTCCTGGTATTTGAAGTAGAAGTTGCCTTCACAGATCACAAGTCAGACAAGACTAGATTCTGTAAGGAAGTCATTAAACATGAAAACCCTTGTCTCGGGTTTTCCTTCTTACCGCAGACACTCTTTCAGCATCAGTGTGGAACTTTCTCCTTCCCATCTAAATCACAGATAACTGCAGTTTCTAACCATATAACCTTTAGCTATGGAACTAGGGGTAAGAAAGCTGTCTCTACTTAATGGAATATGAGTCCATTAAAATGAAAATTGTTCCAATAAAAGAGTATCCAAAGGATCAATTCTAAGATTTAAGATCAATAAATAAAAATACTGTCATTATCTCTTCCTTCTCCTTCTTTTTTCTTCTTTTTATGTCTTTCTCTTCCTCCTTCCCTCCCTCCGTCATTCATTTTCTTTTCTTCTCATCTCAAAATAAATTTGGAAAGACACAAAATTTCATTAGGTAAATTTGTGGCAATTAAATCACCTAGTACCATAATTGGCCTGAATAGGGTGACCTGTAATAAATGTTATCCCTAAAAGAACTTGACCAAAAAAGCCCAACTGTTTCTTAACTTTCCACAGATGTGTCGACCCTGCAGAATGACTCTGCCTATGACAGCAACGACCCTGAAGTGGAGCCCACCAGTGCTATCCACTCCCCCAGCAGGCAGCCCCAGTTGCCCACTGTCATGGCTGCTGGCTTGGATGACAGGCCGTCACAGGATACCTTTGAGTTTAGCCTAGAGCCCATCGTTAGCACAGTAGCCAGGCTGAAAAGCGCCATCAATCAGCTGGACAGGAGGTTCTCGGAACCCAGCATGTCACCCACACAAGAGTGCCTTGAGAGCCAAATGACAAACCGAAAACTAACAAAAAGTGAAGATGACTCCCTCATACCCCAGGTAGACTCTCATTTTGAAAGTGAGAAGGCTAAAGACCCATTTCCAGAGGAGGTTTTCCCAGCAGCAGAAGGCAAACCCAAGAGACCAGTGGACCTGAAGATCAAGAACCTGACCCAAGGTTTGGCATTGCCACAGGGACTGGTACCCAAAGCCATCTCCAGTGGCTCCTTGGATGGGTCCTCTGACAGCTCACCTCTGGCTTCTCCTTCCTGTCCCAAAAGAAATTTCTTCACCAGGCATCAATCTTTCACCACAAAGACTGAAAACAGTAAGCCCAACAGGGAAATTAAGAAGCACTCCATGTCATTCTCCTTTGCCTCTCACAAAAAAGTGCTGACCAAAACCCCCAGCTTTGAGTCTGAGAAAGCCAAAGACCTTACCAGAGACCAGGCCAAGAAGGCTTTGAGAAAAGACGGCCAGCTTGCTGGCCGAATCGTCCAGGAAAATACATCTGACATCCACAGCCAAACAGCTCTGGGCTTCAGCTCACCATCCTGGGCCCTCTCAATGGATGATGTGTTCCAGCTGGTGGATGAGAGGAGTCCAAGGAGCCCACCATCTTACCAAGAGGCCATGAAGCACCAGGTGTCCAGACTTGAGGCCTATGGAGGCCAGACAGTTGGAAGTATGAGAGCAAGAATGCTCAGCCAGGACTCCAAACTAGCTCCTCTTCTACCTTCTCACCACAAAGGGAATATCTACAGTGAGGGGACACTTAGTGGACACAAATTGTCTCCCACCACTGAGCACTGGAAACAGAGCCAGACGGTCAGTGTCTCTGTGGAAACTCGAAGGAGTCCTGAGCATCACCAGCTGAGGACCATGTCTGAGTGTGTCCAGGTGGATAAGCGGGACTATCTCAGGCGACGATGTAGCCAGCCAGTCTTTGACACTGACCAACTTCAATATGCCAAAGAATCCTACATTTAGGAAAGGAGGACTGGCAACATGGCCAGCTTGTGGTATCTCTGTAAATACAAGATTGTGTAAAGAACTGCTGTAGATTCTGTTTTCCAAAAAGTCACAAATAAGCTCTTTTCAAAGGCCCCATGGAGCCCTTCTCTGTGGGGACATTTACACAGTGGTGTGTCACATAGCATCTGCATGTTCCTGTATTGTGCAATATCCAGCAAGTGTATAAAATGTATGATAGACAAGGCATTAGGTGCAAAGAATGTCTTCAGGAATCCCTGCTCACATTTGTGTACTTTTGGTCAGTCACTTTTCTTTGTCCCCTGGGGAAATGTTTCTGTTGGTCAGTCACTTTTCTTTGTCCCCTGGGGAATGCTAGTGTTGAAAAGATCATCTTTGCATTTTTTTACTGTTGCATCAAATGTCATGCAGATTTTCATGTCTTCCACAAACTCTGTTTAGGGAGAAATGTCTAAATCTCTGATAGAAGTTTATTCTGTGAAGCAGGCTTGTGGTAACTAATGATGACAACAGAAGAAAGAACCAGATTCAGTGTATGGAGTTGTTGGTGTGAGGAAAAGACCATAATGAAAATTATGAAAAATGCTCGCACACATCATTTCAGTCATCTAATCCAAATGGACAGGTTGGTGGGAATGCATCACAGCCAGCTTAACTCTTTAGAGCACCTTGCGTTCTTTGTAGGCCAGGGGGTCCCATGCAACAGTGTGGAGGTAGACAATGTCATATGCACCGGGGTCATGTGTAAAGCTTCAATGTAATTTCACTACAATAAACTGCCTTCCTTATTCGGAAGAAAAGAAAAGTTCATTCTTTACGGACATGTTGCCTTCCTTTTCCTCGGTTAACAGAAATCCACCAAGAAAATTATTTACACATTGGTTTATTCAAAAGGCATCTGTAGACTCTCTATCCATCATTCCAGACCAACAGGCAAGCCAGGAGATCTGTGTCTAGGACACACAGCTCTGTCCTCTAGGAGTTTGTAAAACCACAAAGCAAGCCATTTTTTTCATTGAGCAGTCATTCAGGGGACCAGAAAACTTCAAATGCATTCCCACTTTACCACTAACCTGATCTCCATGTGACCCTACTCAGGTCATGAAAGCCCTTCCTAATTTCCTTATTTTAGAAAAGCAGGAATGAGACTGGAAGTCCTCTAGCTCATGTGAGTAGCACAGTTTGCTGACAAACACTATAGTTCCTGAGGTCTCACAAATGTCATTATCGTTGCTAACTCTGGATGTGGAGGAGAAGGTACACTGAGTATTTCAAATATTACACAGAGGGGGAGCCCCACTTCTAACCATATAGTCCACTGATCTTTTTAAATAGGATTTCCCACGTCTTAGATGGTGAGCGCTGCCATAAAAAGTGCCACGGACTGGGTGACTTAAACAACATATATTGTCTTGTAGTTCTAGGCTGAAAGTCTGAGGTCAAGGTGTGAGCAGGGATGGATCCTTCTGAGGGAAGAGAGGACACATCTGCTCCAAGCCTCTCTCTTTGACACAGGTGATGGTCTCCCTGTGTCTCTTCACATTGTCTTCCCCAGGCGTCCCCTTCTTTTAATGTCACCAGTCATACTGGATGAGGGTCTACCCTAATGATCTCACTTTACCTCTTTAAAGACCCTATCTCCAAAAGCAGTCATATTCTCAGGTACTGGGGTTAGGATGTAAACATGTACATTTTGAGGTGGGGGCACAATTCATTTCAGAATCCTACATTTTACAAAATAGCACTTAATGATACCTTGATTACACCATCAAGTTTTAATACTTCACCATAACCAGAGGGCTAAAACTTCCAGGAAGATTAGGATGATACTAACATACAGTTTAGTCAAGGATTCGGGAACACCAGAATTCTGTCCTCCATGGATGTCCTAAGGTCCTGTGCAATGACAAGTTGGGCAATCACAAATGTCCTGGCACCCCAATGCAAGGTAGATGGGAAAAGCAGCTCAGAAGTAAAGGCCTTCATCAGCGATTAACCCGAAACCCAGATTTGATCTCTGGGAAATTTCCTCTCCTCCTATCAAGAGGGGGAAGGGTGAGTTAGCACAAGATACACTATGATTGTCTGCAGTGACACACTGTGCACTGCCCAGGACTAGAAGAAATTAAAGTGTAATCTAGAAATGTTGGCTTGGGCTACAGCTCAGCAACACCACACAGGTTACCAGAGCAGCTGAAGTAGCAGCTAGGATTTGCAGCACTAATACTGCAAGCAATCAGTAACAGCCACAGTGCTTCCCACAGCCAGAAATGAAAATGTCCAAAAAGTGTTAGAAACACTGTCTGTCTTAATACACAATTAAAAGCATAACTAGATGAAGTCCCTGACTGTGATCACACTGGAAGAGCTGCCAGTACATGCCTTCCTCCTGAAGAGTCAAGCACATGGGAACCCACATCAGATGGGACCCTACATTGTGGAGGTTTCTTTTTTATTGGGATTATGTGATCTTAATTCTTCATCTTCTGAGAGGGAGTCGCTTTCACAATACTTCAAGTGTGGATCGAGACCCTGCATTTTCTCTACTCCAGAACACTAGTTAAATTAAATGTAAGTGGGGAAACACCAGGGGCAGGAGGTGCAGACTGCACCTGTTGAGACTACAAAGGTGGGGGGGCACTGAGAGGCAGCACACCTGCAAGTACAAAGTCTTGCTAGAGAAAAGGAACATGGAATGTTAACATCTCTGCAGCAGAAAAAAAGATAATGCATTGACGTAGAAAGAATGTGTGACCCCAATTCACAGAACCTAAGTCTGTGAATGCCCCAAACCTGCTTCCATGGACAAGGCTCTCCACGTGTCCAGTAGCAGTTTCTCCACCTCTGAAATGAGGTAACTACAGCATGCATCAGAGGTGACAAATCTAAAAGTTGAATGTGCTGTGCTAGTGAGGGTGTGGAAACAATGATTGTTATTCATTGCTATTGAAGGTGGGATTGAGCACGGAGTGTGTACAGATAACAGCAAAGACCCCAGTCCTGGAAGGACGGGAGGAGCTGCAGAGCACAGTCTCCAGAGACAGGCTGACTGACTGTATTCAAACCTTGAATCTACCACTCACCCTTACGCAGACAAATTACTACTCTTTTGCATCTGTTCAATGCTAGGAAGCCTGAATGAGACAGTAGGCATAAAGGCATGTTGTCACAGTACCTGAAACCCATCAACAGTCAATAAAGCCTAGCTCTCTGCGAGAACACAAAATTTACGTTATTGCCCATGATTTGCTCATCTTCTCATTTGCTTCCCTAAAATCAAATTAAGTGCCCCATCCAGATCCAGTTAACGGAGAAAATATTAGAAAGTTTGAAAGATGAAGTGATTCAGCTTCACTTAGATGGCAGAGGCTGGTTCTCACAGCTGAGTGTGTGCTCTTCCCTGAAATTATCTTTCATTTTTTTCTTACGTGGAATCTTAACACTAATATCAAATATGATGTTACAATTTTTCACTTAATTTCAAAATGATTAAATGCCCTTTTGATGAAAAAATATCAAATTATAATGAATGTAGCATTTAAGCCCAAGAAAATTACAGAAAAAAAATGTAACATATATAGGAAATAAAAAATATTAAAAATGATAAGCTGAGAAGAAATGGTGGCTAATTCTAAAAGGAATCACATCAGTGCACTCTGTTCAGGTTCTGATTCTCTCCGTGTTCATACACAAGTCCAGTCTAGACACACAATTTAAATAGTTCCCAAAAAAGTTCTCTGTGGTTGCAGAAATTGGTAGGAAGCTGTGTAGCAAAAGCTCTTTAGTCACATTCCCTAGCAATATATATCATTTGACTTTTCTATTTCAATATATACTTTCTATTTCAATAAGTACTCTTTGTATACAATTGAAATTGGCTCTTTCTGCAATTACAGAAGAGAAAGGAAAATGAGGAAGCTGTTTTAAAATATTGAAACTGTTCCCAGTTAAAGACATGTCCAAACCTTTCTGGGGAACTGTTTTGATGTCACAGTTTAGGACAGAACTGAGAGAGGTTGATTATCAGGACATGCTTCTTCTCCTTCATCCCTACATCTTGTACACAGCAGCATGGTCTACTTGGAAGGAAGAGGCTGGGGTGAGAACCGAAGTCTGAGCCTAGCCCCCCTTTCTATGTGAATGTCGTCTTTAATAAGAACCTAAGCTGCTTTTTTTCTTTTAAAATGGGACTGGGCTTTGAACTAAGGGCTTCATGCTGTAAAACAGGTGTCTGCTACTTGAACCACACCTCCAGTCCATTTTGCTCTGGTTATTTTGGAAATGGGGTCTCATGAACTATTTGCCCAGGCTGGCCTCGAACCTCAACCCTCCCAATCTCAGCTTCCCAGGTAGCTAGGATTACAGATGTGAGCTACTGTGCCTGGCTGCTAAGCTGCTTCTTATCTTTGGTCCTTTATCAAGGTAATAAACTGGTAGAGCACTTGCCTAGCAAATGCAAGGCCCTGGGTTCAATCCCCAGCACTGAAAAACGAAAAAGATAATACTCTGTTCTTCTGCTATTGGCTTATATTTTATCAACTTTTTGAGGTATTTTTATGTATGGTTAACCTCATTCATTCAGACTGTACAATTTGATTAGTTTTACCTGATAAATACACCCATGAAAACACCACCACAGTAAAAATGCAGCACACAGCATCGGTAGTGCTTGGTGTTGTCAGATTTGGGTTGGTTATGTTAATAAGTTTATTCTAGTTATCTGCGTACCTTGCTGTGGCTCAATTTGCATTTTTCACAGACTCGTGACATTGTTTTATAGATCCTTGGGATTTTCTATGTGTGTAATCACATTCTCTGCAAATGAGAATTTCATTTCCTCCTTTTCAATCTTTGTCATTTTATTTTTTCTTCCTTTATTGTAATGTCTAGAACCTCCAATTCAATGTTGAGTAGAAATGGTGAAATGCACTCATTTTCCTCTTTCCTGATATTAGTAGTATTTTATTCAATATTTTACCTTGCAGTATGAAGCTAGCTGTAGGTTTTTCATAGTGTTCTTTATGAGTTTGAAGAGGTACCCTATATTCTTAGTTTGATGACATTTTTTTTCTATGAATGGATGTTGAATTTTGTTGTAGTTTGTTTGTGCCTATGAAAATAAGCATATGGTTTTTCTCCTTTATTCTGTTAATATAGTGCGTTTCATTGATTTGTTTATGTTAAACCAAATTAGGAATTCCTGGGATAAACTAATTGGCTATGATGTACTGTCTTTAACAAATTGCTTTAACATTGCCCCAACATTTTGTTAGAGTTGATTTCCTAAACTTTGTTAAGATTTTTTTTCAACTATATTCGTGAAGAGTATTAATCTAAAATTGCCCTTTTCATAAAGACTGTTGAAAACAGGTCATCTTTTCCTAGTTCTTCAGACTTCAGTAGTTTGGAATTATACCTTGATCATTGTTGGTGTTCTGCAGTCAAGAACTGAATTCTGTTGTATTCATCCCAAGACTGTTGATATTTTAACAGGCAATTAACTTAGTTATTATCAATTGATAAACTCCATGTCTCCTGTGATAGACAGCAATTCAAATCTCATTCAGTACTGTACATCTTAGCTGCAATCTGCTTAAAATCAGCCTGTGCACATGTGGTTCATGGCACAGTTAGAGACTTGGTCAGAGTTCAAACGTCTCTTTCTCTGCTCTGTCCCCTCTGGGATTCTCCCTAACTCTTTGACCATAATTACCCCAGGCTCCAGTGCCTGATGTCCTCCAGAAATATGGAAAGCTTTCCATGGGAAAGAACACACTCACTTGTGAGCCAGTGCCCATCCTTTAGCCAAAGCTAAAAGACAGAAAGCCTACACTCCTCCAAGACTCAACTCCCCTCTGTCTGCTTTTGTTCACTCCCCAATCCCTCATGTACTTGCTG